TTATCTACAAGAGACACACCTTAATCACAAAGACAAAATAGATTAAAAATCAAAAGATGATTTTAAAATATATATAGCTCAAGCTAATGGCAATCAAAAGCAAGCTGGAGTGGCAAATCTAATCTCTGATAAAATAGACTTTAAGGCAAAAACTAGCATAAGAGACAAAGAAGGACATTATCTCATGATTAAAGGGTCAATTGAACAAGAGGTCATAGCCATAATAAATATCTATGCTCCCAGTGAGATAGTTTCAAAAGCATAAGTCAGACTCTAACAGAACTGAAGAAAGAAATCGTCAACTCTACAATAATAGTTGGAGATTTTAATACACCATTTTCAATGACAGAGCAGCTAGAAGGAAACTCAACAAAGACACAGAAGAACTAAATAATACAATCAGCAAACTTGACCTCATAGACTTAAACAGAGCATTCAACCCAACAACAGCACAATAGACATTATTTTCCAGTGCACATGGAACAATCTCCTGAATAGACTATATGTTATGCCACAAAGCAAGCCTCAGTAAAAATTTTAAACTTCAATATACTACAAAGCATCTTTGCAGACCACAATGCTATAAAAATAGAAATTCTATAAAAATAGAAATCAACAATATGAAGATTAAGGAAAAAAAATCAAATACATGAAAATTAAATAACATCTTTCTTTAAAATTATTGGATAAAGAACAAATGAAAAATTGAGTAAGAAAATTCCTTGAATCAAGGAAACATACCAAAACCTTTGAGAAATAACAAAAGCAGTGTTCAGAGAACAATTTATAGCAATAATCAGACACATTCAAAGAGAAGATCGGACCAAAATTGACATGAATACAACATCTCCAACAAATAGAAAAACAGCAGCAAGTTAAACCTACAGCCACCAGAAGAAAAGAGATAAAGATTAGAGCAGAAATAAATGAAATAAAAAGCAGAAAAACAAGAGAAAGAATCAGCAAAACAAAAAGATGGTTCTTTCAATGGATTAATAAATTGGCAAACCATTAACACTCTGACAAAAGAAAAGGAGCAGATATCAATACTATGCATAAGAAACTATATGGGTGACATCACAACAGAACCAACTGAAATAAAAAAGATAATAACAGAATACTATGAAGAACTGTGCTCCAATAATTTGAAAATCTAGAAGAAATGGACAAATTTAAAACATGACCTAACTAAATTAACACTGAATGAAGCAGAAAACTTGGACAAACCTATAAAAAAGAAGAAATTGATCAGGTCATTAAAAAACTCCCAAGCAAAAAATGTCCAGGACCGGATGTTCTTACTGGTGAATTTTACCAAGCATTTAGAAAACTGACACCAATTCTAGCCAAACTATTCCAGAATATAGAAAAGAATGGAAAACTCCTGAACACATTTTATGAAACAAACATAACCCTTAGACCCAAATCAAGCAAAGGCATCATTTTAAAAAATCATAGACCAATATACTTCCTGGACATAGATGCAGAAATCCTCAACAAAATCCTAGTCAATAGAATTCAGCAACACATCAGAAAAATAATACATCATAACCAAGTGCATACCAGGTATGCAGAGATGGTTCAAAATTAGAAAAATAATCAACGTAATCCATCACATAAACAAATGAAAAGAGCCACATGATCATATTGACTGATGCAGAAAAGACATTTAACAAAATCCAACATCCCATTCCTGATTAAAAAAAAAAAACATTCAACAAAACAGGAATAGAAAGGAAATTGCTCAGAATAATTAAGAGCATATATACAAATCCAAAGGAGCTCTGGTAGTGTTGTTGTTGTTGTTGTTAAGTGCCATCGAGTCAGTTCCGACATATAACAATCCTGTATAGGGTTTCCAAGGAGCGGCTGGTGAGCTTGAACCACCAGCCTTGCAGTTCAAACGGCTTTGGAGTCTGGTGCATTAAACCACAGTGCCACACTAGTGTAGTGAGTTGCAAATTGGGCTGCCAACTGCAAGGTCAGCAGTTCAAATCTAACAACCATTCTTTGGCAGAAAAATGAGGCTTTCTGCTCCCATAAAGATTTACAGTCTCAGAAATCCTATACAGGGTCACTATGAGTCAAAATCAACTCCATGGCATATAGCGACCACCACCACCATACAAATCCAACAGCCAACATTACATTCAATGGTGAGAAACTGAAAACATTCCCTTTGTGAACAGGAACCAGACAAAAATGCATTTATCATCAGTCATAGTCAAGTAAATGTTTTCATGCTAAAAGAAATATTGTTTGATAGTTGTGGGATAGTGGTGGAAGGGTTGGAGGGAAGGAAGAGTAATGCATTGGCTAGAGGGCAGACACACGTTAGGTTGGGTGATAGGGAGGGCAATATACAAGAAGAGGGCAGTTGGCAGAAGAATGATGAAGATAGTTGAAGACATAGGGTGGTCTGCAAGGGTTGCAGGGAAAAGAGGTACATAATGCCATACACACAACCCTGAAACAAAAGTGTTCTATGGGTAGATATGTGGACAAATACACAAGTTGAACTCTGTACAGGAGGGACAGTGGGAGTATATCCACAAACATATAAGGGTTTGACAAAGGATATTTGTACATGGGTATTTACCTTGGCTGCAAGCATATATGTGGATGTGGAGGAATATGCTGTTGTTACTAAGTGTTGTCGAGTTAGTTCCAACTCATAGCGACCCCATATATGCTTTCTGAGGAGTGGTCAATGGGTTTGAACCTCTGACTATGGAGTTCAAACTAACCTTGTGATACAGTGTTTATCCTACACTAGGACTTCAGGGGACAAAATGATAAAAAATAAAACAAAACACTTCTTGGTGGTGGTGTTGGTTATATGTTGTGGAGTCCGTTCCAACTCATGGTGACCCTGTATAGGGTTTTGGAGGCTATAAATCTTTATGGGTGCTGAAAACCTCCTCTTTTTCCCATAGAACAGCTGGTAATTTTGAACTGCTGACCTTGAGGTTAGCAGCTGAACTTGTAACCACCACGCTACCAGAGCTCCTTCTTAGATATTATCAAACATCTTAAGGCAATGGTTCCTGGGCCTGGGGGCTCAGGACCATTTAGTCTTAGGGGACACCATGGTCAACTGTCATGACATAGTCCACAGAGACAATATTCTGCAACCTAAGTAGTGACTGGATCGTAAAAGCTCATGAGCAGCCATCTAAGGTGCAACTGTTGGTCTCTCCATGTGCAGAAGAAAGAAGAATGAAAAAATTTGAAGATATTTGGAATCAACTAGTCCAATGGAATAATGGATCAGGTGAACATCAGTCACCATGACTCTGAGACCAGAAGAACTAGATGGTGTCTGGCTACCACTACCAACTGCTTTGAAAAGGATTACAGAAGGTCCAGGATAGAAAGGGTGAAATTTTATTTTAAAAAAAATAAAAAATATATTTTTTAAAAATAAAAATAAATAAATTCAGAGAGATGACTTTTTTTCAGGTCCTTGTCCAAGGGTTCTTAAGTCCCTTGTCCAAGTAGTACTTAAGGACCACCTCAGAATCCTCCCAAACACCACAATATGACATTTGATAGTATTAATAATGCTCATATTTTAAGGTTTCACTTATAATAACTGCTCATCACATTTGCAAATGCAGTCTTTAAAAAGAGGCATTTTTAATATTAATACATCAATACAACAGTCTGTATTCATAAACAGTGCTCTTAATTTGTAGAAGGAATGCATACTTAGATTTGTTCTTAATACTGATACACTTTTGCAGAAACTAGATTCTACATTTCTTGTCTCCAAGTTCAGAATATTCATAGGATATACATTACTGAATCTGTACTTCACAAATATTATACACATGATACAGAAAACATCATTAAAACCCCTCAAATTATATTTTATATATACATATATTAGAATGATGAATTTAGGACTGTAATAAGTTCTTCTAAAAGAAAACAACATATTTTAATTAGTAGTGTGATTTTTTCTTAGCTTTAAATTACTTAGGAATCTAGCTTTTAAATTATTTTTTTTTTAAATCAAGAATGGTTGCTAAAACATGACAGATGCTGCATATTATATGGACTCCTATTATAACCTGGGAAATGAGGATAGTAATGGAATTCACAGGATTAAGATAAGCAGTGTATGTGAAAAACTATAAGCCATAAAGTATTATAAAGTGCTAAAATACTACATGTCTGTCTGTATGTGCATAGGCAAATTTGTAAGGAGATACTGAAAAAGATTGAGAAACTGAAACCAGATGGGCATACATAAAAATATTTAAAATGATAATCAAGACTGAATATTCTTCTCTGTATTCTTCTATAACATTATAATAAATATGTGCTGCTTTTGTAATTAGAAAAAAATGGTATAAATTAAAAGTAAAAGGGGAAGCTAATCTTTATTCTTTTCCTTTGGTCACCACAAGTAAGACTTCTGATTCAGTGGCAGCTGGTTTAACTGGTTTGGTTTTCTATATGTGTTTTTCTCTTCATGTCCTTCTGCTTGTCCCCAACAGAATTATAGGCACACCTCAGTTATTACACTTGATTGTGCTTTTCAGACTTTGCGCTTTTTACAAATTGAACGGTTGTAGCAACACTGGGTCACTCCAATTGGCACATGCTCACTTCATTTCTCTATCACAATTTGGTAATACAATATTTCACACTTTTTCATAATGCTATTGCACACTTAATAGAATATTGCAGTGTAGACATAATTTTCATATGCACTGGAAATCTAAAACTGTCTTGGGATTCACTTTTTGTGATACTTTATTGTGGTGCTCTGGAACCAAACCCACACTATCTCTGAGGCATGCTTGCATTTGCTCTATTTAGCTGTTTACCACAAATTTTCATAACTCTTAGTAAAAGCAATGGGAAATTGACCTAACTTTCATTAAAAAGAACTCAGCCAAGTACCTCATGAATTGACATATAGAGAAAGATCTGTTTAAATTGTTCATCTTTTATTTTAAAAAAGACAATGGTGCTTCTTTTCTTAATAGGAGAAGACTGAAGGTGGCAGGCCAAGTATCTATAAATCTGCCGCCAGCAACACTTCCAAGGAAATGACTGCCTACAGTGATTATCCCTTCCCTGATCATTATCCCAATTATTTGCACAATTCCAAAATCTTGGAGTACCTCCGGATGTACACCGAACAGTTCCACCTTATGAAATACATCCAGTTTTTGGTAAGTGGGGAAGAGAATGCTCTGCATACGCGAAACTCTGCTAGTAATGTTGAGAGCCAATCCACAGCAGATTGTTAAATTGTCTCTGAGCTCTGGTAACGTAGTGGTTACGAGTTGGGCTGCTAGTCTCAAGGTTAGCAGTTTGAAAATACCAGCAGTTCCATGGGAGAAAGATGAGGCTTTCTGCTCCTGTAAAGATTTAAAGCCTTGGAAACCCTATGCAGGGTCACTATGAGTCAGAACCGACTCCACAGCATACCACCACCACCACACTCTTAGAGATGACCACACCATAAAAGTGTTGTTGTTAAGTGCCATCAATTCATAGTGACCCTGTATAGGATTTCTGAGAAGCGACTGGCAAACTTGAACCAACCTTGCAGTTCAAATCAACTTTGCAGTCCAGCACATTAGCCCACAGCGCCACACCAGGAGCCCAATACACTGTCAGCTTTACATATATCTTCAATGAGGACAGCTTCTCTTCTCATTTCCTTACGGGAAAAGTATGACAGATTGGTTAAAACACCAGACTGGGCACCACGTGTTAACTCACCATTGACTAAACTTAGAACTACAATTGAAGCAGACTAGACTATGTTCCTACTTCAAACTGTCAAAAGGGAAAATGTCTTTGCAACTTCAAACAGGGAAAGTCAGTTGCAAAGACATTTTTGTGTGTGTGAAACCCTAGGTATGGAAATCTGCTAAGGTAGAGTAGCTACAACCAACTTTACTTATTAAAGTCAAGAATCTTAGGAAAGGAGGGAAATTTGGAGCAGTTCTCATGAACCTGGGTTTGTCTCATCCTCAGTCAAAGGTGTGCAGTGTGAGAAAACGCTCTGATTTCTCCTCGACGGGACAGTGGGATGTTGTGGTAGAGACACAAGGGAATCAGGAGACCTATGTATTTGATGGGATCATGGTGTGTACTGGCCTTTACTCCGATCCCTTCTTACCACTTCAGAACTTCTCAGGTATGTCATACAGATCTCTAAAGTAATGATTTTATAGTGTTTTGTCATTGTGGCTGGTGTTACTTTTGATCAAAATTTATAGCTCCAAAAGATACTATATTTTCAAAATAAACATACGTTTTTCTAATTATACAGCAATACATGTTCTCATCCTCAAATAATGTATAATGTTACTAACTGAGAATTAAAAATTACTAACATCTCCTCACCACTCTTCTGGGTTATTTTGAGGGAAAAGTTCTACATTGCACCACAATTGAAAGCCAAAATGCTTTGTATTGATAGTGTTTGGAGTAAATAGTAAGGTGACAACTACAGAAAACATTTTAAGATTTAGCTTTATTTGTAAATGAGTGTGTGTGCACAGCACTGTAACTACAAAAGACTATGTGTTCGTGTCACCAAACATATCAGAACAGAATGCAAATACTATTGTTTATCATTTGGAACCTTAACAACCTTGCATGCTAGAAACAGTGCAGGAATGATTTACATGCACAAGGTCTTCCTGTTTATTTCTGTTGTTGTCAAGTCCCATCTAATCAGTTCTGGTTCATAAAGACACTATATAGTTTCTGAGGAACAACTAATGGGTTTGAACCGCTGACCTTTTGATTATCACTAGAAGCCGCTATATACTCTGTCTTTCTGAAGAAGGCTGAAGCTTAGATTCTTCTAGGGTTCTTAGGAGATGTTGGACTCTCTCACCTACTTGTTATTAGTAGCTCTGTTTCCCACTGTTAGAGAAGATAGTTTTTGTTTTTAGGTGCCATTGATTGGGTTCCAGCTCATAGTGACCCTACATGTAACAGAATGAACCATCAACCTTTCTGTTAGCAGTCCAGTGATTATCCTACGTCATAACACCAGGACTCTGTTAAGATAAAGGAGGTAAAAATGAGATCACTTAATTTCTCAGAAGTTTGGGCTTTGTTTGAGTATAATTTATAATCTAGAACTAAAGTATGGGAAGATTCATTCTGTCTAATGATGTCTAGCAGACACAGTCCACAGAACTATCATCAGTAGACAAGTAAATCAGAGGCTTCAGTAGAATTACTCAGTTATTCAAGCTGCAAAGTGAAGGGCACAATCCTCCAGCGTGCCAAGTCTTCACACTTCTGACACCAACTGCAAGTTCAAAAGTTTCTCCGAAGCACCCTCACTTTAGACCAACTAATTACAAATTTGGGAGATTATCAAGCACTCAGGTTTGATCATTTTCTAGAAAGATTCACAGAAATCACTGAAAGCTATTATTGTTGGTGCTGTCAAGTGTCATTGAGTCCATTCCAACTCATAATGACCCTATAAGGGTTTCCAAGTAGTGGTTGGTAAGTTCAAACTGACCTTGCACTCTAGTTCTTTATCCCATAGCACCAATGGTTTGTTACAGGTAAAGGATACAGGTCAAAATTAGCCAAAGGAAAAAATACATAGAGTAGGGACCAGAAGGGTCTGGTCATCCTCTCCTTGTGGAGTCATAGTTGGCATTGCCTTCTCCCAGTGATGATGTGTAACAATGTGCACAGAGTATTGCCAACTAAGAAGGCTCACTTGAACCTTCAGTCTTCAGAGTTTTATTAGAACTCAATCATATAATGTCTGCATAGGTGACGTTTAGTCTTCAACCCTTACCAGATGTTAAGCTAATATCTTTAGTCTCCACTTTCTCCAGAGGTTGAAACCAATATAGCATATCCGAAAGCCATAAGTCACAGTATTAGACTGTCTGGTGGCCAAAGTCACAAGGAAATAAAGATACTCCTTATCAGGTAGAACATTCCATGTGCCTGGAGTTCACCTCTCAGTACTTTAAGGCAAAAACTAGATTTTTTTCTTTCTTTTTACTAACTTTCTGTAAAGTAATACCCAAGGCTTGAACAAATCCATTTCTACACACAGGGATCAAGAGGTTCAAAGGCCAATATATCCACAGTTGGGATTACAAGACGCCAGAGAAATTCCAGGGGAAGAGAATTATTGTTGTTGGCATTGGAAATTCTGGAGCTGATTTGGCAGTAGAGCTCAGTCATGTAGCTGCACAGGTTTGATCCTAAAATTCTCTTCTCAATGCAACCTGCCCAATGTCCTCTGAAATGAAATGTATAAATCATGTTCTCACATTGTGTCAGGCCTAATGGTTAATTACCCTTCATAACTGCTTTCTTGGAAGATATTTTAATAATCCATTCCAAAAAAAATACTTAGAATGGAACAAAAATAAAGTACTTCAAACATTGCTGTTATTGTTAAGTGCTGTCAAGTCAGTTCCAATCCATAGGGACCTTATATAGGGTTTTTAAAGAGCATCTGGTGGGTATGAACTACTGACCTTGGGGCTCAAAGTCCAGTGCTGATCCTACAGCACCACACCAGGAGTCCATTTCAAACATTAACGACTGTCAAATGATTTTTTTACCAAAGAATGTGAGCTTTCTCAGCTCAGCCAATAATTTAAAAAATGAACACAATAGAAACTTTCATTTTCCTTAACATGACACTTGACTTTGCCTCCCAACTCTGATCCCTTCCATACTGAAATGTCTAGGGGCACAGATTAATTAAATGTTATCAATAACACAGTGCTGCAGTGAATAGATGAATGGGACCTTTTGCATCAGTTTGTTGATATCTAGTCTTCTTATATTATTTTGTTTTCTCAGAATTTGAAACTTAAGAGATTCCAGGCTTCAAATACAGTTATGGAAAAGGTTCAGAGAGATAGTGGGTAAGAACCACAGGGAGGCTTGGGCAAATCTATGGAGCTGTAAGCAATATGTCAGGTATGCTTGTGTTTGTGAGTGTACTTGTCATTCTGTGATTATATCAATTTTTTACCTGGTACAAAAGTAAAGGAGTTACTATCCACTGCTTTTAGCAATCCATATAAAAATATATATAAGGTACTAAGAAAAAGCTGTGATGAAAGAAAATTTATATTGTGAGGCAGCTATTTTTAAATTTATTTGCATTTACTCCTAGGTGTTCCTTAGCACAAGACGAGGTGCATGGATTTGGAACCGGGTCTGGGATAATGGGATGCCCATGGACACTAGTCTCTTCACTCGTTTGAACTCTGTCCTCATAAAAGTCTACCCAACATTTTTAATTAACAGATGGGCAGAGAAGAAATTAAATACACGATTTAACCATAATATTTATGGCTTGCAACCTCGACACAGGTATGTTCTGCTGCTTTTGAAAAAATAATTTTGTCTCCATCTTTTTTAAATCAGTAGGTCAGAAAATAGACTTCAGCTTTCTTATGAGAATGTTGATAATTTTTTCTCATATTTCATTGGATCATTCCACACACTTGTCTTATAGGAAAAATATAAGAATATGGTTGCAGCTTCACCTGTTCTCATCCCTTTATATTCTCCCGGCTTCTTTAGACTCTGAGACATTCATAGGGTAAAAAGGCAATAAATGCCCTATTATATCATAAAAATAAACTCCATATTCTCAGGCAGCAGGAAAGAATCAGGAGCTTGGTACTCTAATACAGGAAGACAAGAAACTCAAGGGATGTCTTTGAAATGCAAAACATGCTTTCTTTGCCTCCAATAGTTTTATAAGAGAGAAAAAGCAGCTTTGGAGCCAGACAGCTGAGGTTTGAATCCTACTTGTATCTCTTACTAGCTGTGGGGTATTGCAGAATTTACCTAACTACATATAAAATTGGGGTGACATTAGTCTTAACTCAAAGAGTTAATTTGAGCTATAAATAGACAAATATGTTTATAGCTTACACAAATCCAAGCACATAGTAAATGTTCCATGATTTTGTATCATTTTATGATGTTGACTGACATGCACTTTCTAGTATGAATAACTGAGTAGAGAGTATATCATAGTACAAGGGTAAGGAATTCAGAAGGAAAGCAGCCTTTTAGGGTTAAGAGGAGAATGATTGATGATTTAAGTTTTAGAAAACTGTGCTTGGATATTTTTGAGGTATCTCAATAGAGGCATACAGAAGGCATGAGGTGAAATAATTCTGAAACTCAAAGTAGACATTAAGCTTGGATATGTATATTAGAATCTCAGGGGTGGAAAGTGTTTGTTAGGACGGGGAGGAAGGTGACTGGTGGAGTTTGAACAGGCACCTCAGGTAGTCTCCTTATACACACAAATACATAGACATACATTTCTTCCCATGTCCCCACTCTGTCTTAAGAACCAGCAATCTAGAAAGAGAAAAAATGAGGCCCTAGATCAGATGTCAAGGGATCCCACCTGTTAGAGGGAAAACTAATGAAAAGTAGTCATTAAAAACAATGAGGAAAGAAATGGGAGAATAATTGGTACCACAGCAATCAAGTCAACTTTGACTCACAGCGACCCAATAGTAATAAATAAGGATGAGACTGTAAGAAGGAGAACACTGGATGATGGAAATGGTTGACAGTTTCAAGAGTATTAGGTCAACAAACATTATTATCTGAGCTCCTCCTATGTTTTATTATGTAGTAGCAAGTGCATTGAGGTCCTAGTGTGGCCATCTAAAGTAAGCATTGAACTCCTAACCACAGAGTCAGTGGTCCAAACCCACCCACTGCTCCTCAGAAACCCTATACATGGTGGCTATGAGACAGAACCAACTCCATGGCACTTGACAACAAGCAGCTAGTATGTGAGCTAAAAGAGTTAACCCATCAACTGCCATGCCCCAAAGCTGAAAAAAGCTAAAACTCATCAGGAAGCTTGCAGAAAAGGAATCTGAAAATATTACCCAACTTTGGTTTGTCTGCCTCTGAACCATTATGTGTCTGCCCTTAAATGTAGAGTAGAGTCTTGGTGTGTCACTATAGGATAAAGCACTTGACCACACGGTCATTCTGAACATCAGGGTCAGCAATTCAAACTCACCAGCTGCTCCTTGGAAACCCTAAGTGGGGTTACTATGAGTCACAATTGACTTGACAGCACTTAATAACAACAACAACAAATGTAGGATGGTCTATTCTAGGCACTGAGTATCAAGAAATGCATAATGTGCTAGAAAAATCTTCTGAAAAAGATACTGAAAGCAGTGAAGGTAGATTGAACGTCTGTCTAAGGAAGAGGTAGTAGAAATCTACAGATATGGAGGGTACCAGAAAAAGATAAAAGTTAACTTCATCAGATCATTAAAAAACAAACTCATAGGGAACATTGTTGTTGTTGTTAAGTACCATGGAGTCAGTTCCAACTCACAGTGACCCTGCACAGGGTTTCTGAGGTTGTAAATCTTTACAGGAGGAGAAAGCCTCATCTTTCTCCTGTGGAACAGCTGGTAGTTTCAAACTGCCGACCTTGACGTTAGCAGCCCGTTTTGTAACCACTACACTACCAGAGCTAACGTGAAACATTTAGAGAAAGTATAAAAATATATATTGCGTGGTACTATAAGTTTAATTAGGAGTCCTGGTGTGGAGCTGTAGGCTAATGCGCTGGACTGCAAAGTCTCTTTGAACCACAAGGTCGGTTCACCACAGCAACACATTTCAATCTATTATGTTGTTGTTAAGTGCTGTTGAGTAGGTTCCTACTCACAGTGACTCTGTGTACAACGAAAGGAAACAACTCTAGGTCCTGTGCCATCCCTACCACTGTTGTTATGTTTTAACTCATTGTTGCTGCCACAGTGTTAATTCATCTCATTGAGGGTCTTTCCTTTTTTCACTGACCCTTCATTTCACTAAACATGATGCCCTTCTTCAGGGACTCATTCCTCCTGATAAATTGTCTGAAGTATGAGAGAACACATCTCACCATCCTGGCTTCCAAGGAGCATCTGGCTTCACTTCTTTCAACACAGATTTGTTTGTTGTTCTGACAGTCAATGGTACTTTCAATATTCTTCTCCAACACCACAACTCAAATGCAATAATTCTTCTATGGTCTTTATTATTCATTATCCAACTTTTGCATCCATATGAGGTGATTAAAATACCAGGGCTTTTATATATTCCATGTTCCAGGTATTAATGTATTTTCACAACTGTTTCTTCTCATTCTGAATTGTGTAAGCCAATGAAAGTCCCAACAGCTTTGTTCCATTCATGTCATTACGGTCAACTCTACTTTGAGGAAGCAGCTCTTCCCCAGTCATATTTTAACTGCCTTCCAACCTGAAAGGCTCATCTTCAGGCATTACTTCAGACAATGTCCATTACTATTCTCAAGGTTCGCAGTGGCTAATCACTCAGAAGTGTACTGCCCATTCCTTCTTCTTAGTCTAGAAACTCTACTGATACCTGTTCCACTATGGGTGATAGGTATTTAAACATCAGTGTTTTATTTTCTAACATCACAGCAACACACAAGCCACCACAGTACAGCAAACTGACAGACAAATTGTGGAACTGTGGAAAAATCTTCTCTTTTTATTTTGTTGGTAAAACACAATCTCTGTTTATCTCTTGTGAAGTCTAAATAGATAATTTCACAAACCAAATAAAATTGTCTATCTAGCTCAGCCTAGTATAGATGAGTAAGTCCAATGAGCATTGTTTTAGTACCTACTATTGTTGTTGTTAAGTGCCGTCGAGTCAGTTCCGACCCATAGCGACCCTGTACAGGGTTTCCGAGGGTGTAAATCCTTACGGGAGTAGGAAGCCTCATCTTTCTCCCGCGGAGCGGCTGGTAGTTTCGAACCGCTGACCTTAAGGTTCACAGCCCGATTCGTAACCACTACGCTACCAGAGCTATGGTTAAGTGGTATTTGGGTTGTGGGTGTAAAGTAAGCTGGCATGGTGAAATAATGCCAGATAGAGTCTCAACTCTCACGGCCTTTTCTTTCTGTTAAGGGAGAAATGCAATAACACGAAATTGGGTGTACTCTCAAGAAAAATTAAACAATGGGGGAAAGAAAGGAACATGGAAGTCTTTTCTTAGATGGGTGGTCAGGGGAAACATCTGATGAGAGATAATTTGAGTAGGAATCTGGAGAAAGCAAGAAGTAATTACTTCAGGTATCTAAAAGAACAACATTCTAGGTAGAGGAAGCATCGTAGTCAAAGGCAGGAATGAGCAGGACTTTTCAAGGAAGTAAAATGAATCTAGTGTAGCTGAAGGGCAGGGAGAAGGAAGAAGTGATGGGAAATTAACTCAGAGAACTATACAGGGATCAGACTACATAGGAACTGGTAGGACTAGGGCATGGTTATGATGGTGGATTTTATTTTTAGTGAATTAGAAAGTCAGGAAGGAAAGACTATCTCAACCTTCTAAAAGGATCGCTCTGGCTGCTGAGTGGAAAAGAAATTGTAGGAAGCTAAAGGTGGGTACAAACAGAATAGTTAGGAGCCTATTGATGCAATCCAGACAAGATATAATTGTGTTAAAATTATATCATAAATGCTAATAAAATTCAGATGATCACCATATTGGTTTTTATGCCTTAATAAAATACTGGTTCTCAAAATGGAAAATTGAAACAGAATATATTAATTTCTTGTTCCAATATGAATACCTTGACAGTAACTCTTTTTAAAAGCTTTACAAGGAAATGTGTTACAGTAATACAGAATCAGTGTATCCCTGATATAAGTTTATAAATCATATTTCAAAATCTTTTCATTGCATACAGTAAGAGCTTAATAAACATTACTAACTGACTAATGTTAGTGTATAGGAATGCTGACACTGTAGAACAAGCACTGAACTAACAGCAGGGTCAGTAGTTCAAACCCACCAGTCACTCCTCGTAAATGCTATACGGGGTTGCTCAGAGTCACAGCCAACTCAACAGCACTTAACAACAGTATTAATGTGTACACACAACTTTCAACAGTCAGTAACTAACCCAGAACAATATTGAGTAAAAGAATTGTTTTCTAAAAAATAAAACAAAAACACACTCAGCTTGACTCCTTTCCAGAAAGCAGACAGTGAAAACTATGAGAAAAGGAACTCAATGGGACTGCCTTATTTTCCAGGATTTCAAAAATTTCCCAGATTTTCAGTGTACAGTCAACACTTTCCTATTGCTCTGTTTCATGGTTGTTGTTGTTGTTGTTATGTGCCGTGGAGTCAGTTCCGACTCAAAGTGACTCTGTACAGAGTTTCTGAGACTGTAAATTTTTATGGGAGCAGAAAGTCTCATCTTTCTCCCATGGAACGGCTGGTAGTTTCGAACTGCTAACCTTGCAGTTCGCAGCCCAATTCGTAACCACTACACTACCAGAGCTCCTTCTGTTTTATGATAAATACAATAAAATCATCAGAAGTCAGAATCTGTGTAAGGTGGAACCTATCAGAAAAGAAAAACTCAAGTATTTTCCAAACCAGTCCCTTTGTATTGTGGCTTTCATGGGTTTCATTGTATTTGAGTTCACCAATTTGTACTGTATATTAATTTTCCTGGACTTCAATTGTTATACTATAGATTTCTGAGCCATCAAGCTACTTTCAGTGATGATCTACCCAACCATATAATTTCTGGAAGAGTTTTGGTGAAACCAAATGTGAGAGAATTCACTGAGACGTCAGCTATCTTTGAAGACGGCACAGAAGAAGACGTTGATGTTATCATCTTTGCCACAGGATATACTCTTTCATTCCCTTTTTTGGAAAACGATTCAACAATTATGGACAACCATCACTCCATGTTTAAATTTGTCTTCCCTCCTCAGCTAGAGAAGCCAACACTAGCTTTCATCGGTATCCTCCAACCAGTGGGAGCCACCATTCCCACGTCAGAACTCCAGAGCCGATGGGCTGTACGCGTATTCAAAGGTATGTGCTGAACAGGTGATCTATTTTAGAGTCATTGCAAAGGTCTTTGGAAGCTTAACCTTAACAATATCTAAGTTTCATTCATGGGAGATTCATTTGGTGATGGATAGTTGTTTAATCTTTAAGATTCCTGTATGAATATGAAAATATGAAATTACTACCTAAAGCTATTACTGAATAACATTTTATTGGCAAAGAGTTTACTAAGGTGTGTAGGTGGTGGAGGCAGTGGGAGAAAGAAGATAATAATCTAAAGTATTTTGTTGTTGTTAGGTGATGACCAGTCTGTACTGACTCATAGCAACACTAATCAAATAGACTGAAACAATACTTGTTACTCAGTCATCATCACACTTGTTTTTATGTTTGATTCCATTGTTGCAGCCACTATGTCACTCCACCTCCTTGAGGGACTTCCTCTTTTTTGCTGATCCTCTACTTTACCAAGTATGACTGTCTTTTCCAGAAACAGGTCCCTCCAGACAACATGTCTAAAGCATATGAGACATAATCTTACCATTCTTGCTTTTAAGGAACATTCTGGCTGCACTTCTTCCAAGACAGATTTATTTGTTCTTCTAATAATCTATTGTGCATTTAATATTCTTTGGCAATACCAAAGATATGCAGATGATACAACCTTACTTGCTTCAAGTGAAGAGGACTTAAAATACTTACTGATGAAGATCAATGACCACAGTCATCAGTATTGGTTGCACCTCAATGGATAGAAAACAAAACTCCTCACCATTGGACCATAATAAAGGAAGAAGAGATCAAAATTGTCAAAGACTTCATTTTGCTCATATCCACCATCAACACTCATGGTAGCAGCAGTCAAGAAATCAAATGACAAATTGCATTTGGCAAATATGCTGCACAAGATCTATTTAAAGTGTTAAAGAGCAAAAGAAAAATGTCAGTTTGAAGATAAGGTCAGCCTTGTCGTTTTCAGTAGCCTCATATGCATGTGGAAGTTGGACAGTGAATAAGAAAGACCATAGGAGAATTGATGTATTTGAGTTATGGTGTTGGAGAAGAATATTAAAGGTACCATGGACTGCCAGAAGAACAACCAAATCTGTATTGAAGGAAGTACAACCAGAAGTCTCCTTAGAAGCCAAGATAGCCAGACTTCCCTCATACTTGTACATGGCATCAGGAGGGACCAGTCCCTGGAAAAGGACATCATGTAGAAGGCCAGTTAAAAAGAGGGATACTCCCAACTACAGGACTGGCATAGTGACAACAACAATGGGCTCAAACGTAGCAACAATTGTGCAGATGGCACAGGACGGATGGTGTTTCATTCTGTTGTACATAGGGTGGCTATGGGTAGGAACGAACAGCACCTAACAAAAACAACAAGCTAACACCAAAATTCAAATACATCAATTCTTCTCCAGTCTTCTTTATTTATTGTTCAGCTTCAACATATATATGAGGTGACTGAAAATACTGTGGCTTTGATTAGGTACTCCTTAGACGTAAATGGACTTTGAGGACAGCTTTGCTCTTTAACTCTTTAAAGAGGTCTTTTACAGAAAATATGCAATATTTTTGATTTCTTAACTGCTTCTTCTATGAGCATTGATTACAGACCCAAATAAAATTACATCCTTGACAACTTCAATATTATCAATATATTGTTTGCTGGCTCATTTGTGAGGAATTTTATTTTCTGTATATTTAGATGCAATCCCTAATGAAGGCTGTTTTCTTTGCTCTTTGTCAGTAAGTTCTTCAAGTCCTGTTTTCTTTCAGCAAACAAAGTTGTGTCATTTTCAAATCACAGGTTGTTAATGAAACTTTCTCCAATTCTGATGTTGCATTCTTCTTATAGTCTAACTTCTTAGACTATTTGCTCACCATAGAGACTGAATAAGTGTATTGAAAGGATAAAACCCTTCTGATCTGGAACCACGAAGTATCTGCTTGTTCCATTCCAAAGACTACGTCTTCATCTATGTATAGTTTCCTCATGACTATAATTGAGTGTTCTGTAATACCCATTCTTCACAATCTAATCCATAGTTTTCTATGATTCACACAGTTCAATGCATTTGTATAATCAACAAAACACAAGTAAACATATTTCTGGTATTATTTTTCAGCCAAGACCCATCTGATGTCAGCAATGATAGCACTTGTTCCATGTCCTCTTCTGAAACCAGTACATTCAACAACTCCCTGTTGATGTATCACTGCAACTATTTTTCAATTATCTTCAGCAACATTTTAATTGTCTGTGATATTAATGATGTTGGTAGATATTTGCCACATTCTGTTGAGTTACCTTTCTTTAGAATGAAAGACATATTGGTTTCTTCCACTTGGCTGGCTAGCGAGTTTTCTTAGAAACTTCTTGGCATCAGATTGTTGAAACATGAATTTGTATTCCATCAATGCCTTGGGTCTTGTTGTTTGCTAATTTCTTCAGTGTAACTTGGACTTCTTCCTTCAATACCACTGGTTCTTGATCACATGCCACCTCTTGAAATGGTTGAACATTAACTCCTTTTTTTTTTTTTTTAAGTTTTATTGTGAATTTTGTGATAGTTTACATGGGAGAACATCAGTTTTACATTCATCCTATCCTATATTGTTTCATTGTCATGGTTACAATCCCCTCCACTCATCACCAATCAACAAAAGGATACATCCTATAAGCCTGCTTCCCCTCCCACCCCCTGGTCATCAGCACACAGCCCCTCTTCCTCCCTGGGTCCTGAGTCCCCAGATGCTCCATCTCTCCATGTCATCATCTCTGCCTCCATCTCAGGGATTGCTGCCTTTCTGGGTAGGGTTCTGCTCGCCACTCTTCTTCCTTCATGGTTCCACGGACCTCCGCTCCCAGCCTGCAAAGTCAATCACTCCCCTCCTTGCCACAAAATGCCCACATTTACATTTACAACCTTCAGAATCAGTCCTGGTAACAATTATTCATCCTTGCATCACAAGAGACCTATCCGCATTTCCTTTAATCAGTCCCACCTAGACAGATTGGATACTACTCAGTGGAGATTCTACCTTCCTCTGTGCTCTCTGGATCTAGATTCCCTCTTGAAAGCTTGTAAGCCAGTCACTTCTTGCCTTTGTAACTCCCCCTCCCCCCCCATTTTGGATAGCCAATGTCCAAGTTGCCCATCCCTGTCTACTCTGTGTATGGAGGGGTGGGAATGATCCTTGCTGCAAAGATTTGTTCCCTCTTTTGAGCTACTGAATTCATAGGTGTAGGTCAAGTTCATCAAATTATATCAGATTACTCTTTTTTTTCCTCTTCTTTCTTCTTTTGGTTGAGTTCTGATCACCCAGTCATTGAGGCTAGGTCAAATTGGTATTATCTGCAAGTGTGGGTGCTCTTGTGGATATGCTCTCTCTTCTTATCCACTGGACACTTCACTCTCTACTCTAGTCCTCTGTGACTATGTCACTGACTCTGGGCCCAAGAGTCCCCAGGTCTTGCCACACTGCTGGCCAACCAGGTCTCCACCTGGGTTCATAAGAGTCTATTGACCATTTTAAGGCTTAGCTTGCAGCCTCATAGCTGTGTTTCCCTCACTTCCCCTTGTTGGTGGCAAACGTGGTCACCCATCAGAGCACTGAACATCAACTAATTCTTATTGATACAAAGCCACGTGGAGGTAATGGTAGTTATTGTGTGCCATCAGGTCAGTACAGTGTCTCTGTGTGTTCGTTCCTTCAATCTACTTTTGATGCGTCCTGCACTGTTCAATATTATCCCTATGTTGTTGCTATTGTGACTGATTCATAGTACCCCTGTATTAGGTTTCTGAGGCTGTAAATTTTTACAGGAACAGAAAGTCTCATCTTTCTCCGAGGAGTGGCTGGTGGTTTTGAACTGCTGACCTTGTGGTTAGCAGCCCAAAGCACAACCAGGCCTCCATTCTGCCTATAGAAGCCTTTAATATTGCAATTCAAGGCTTGAATTTTTTTTCTTCAGTTCTTTCAGCTTGAGAAATGTTGTGTGTGTTCTTTTCTTTGGGTTTTCTAACTCCAGGTCTTTGCAGATTTCATTATAATACTTTACTTTGTCTTCTTGAGCTGCCCTTTTAAATTTTCTGTTCAGTGCCTTTACTTCATCATTTCCTCCATTTGTCATTCACTTTAGCTACTCTACCTTCAAGAGCAATTTTCAGAGTCTCTTCTGACATCCATTTTTGTCTTTGCTTTGTTCCTGTCTTTTTAATGACTTTTTGCTTTATTCCTGTATGATGTTCTTGATGTCATCCCACAGTTTTTCTGGTCTTTGGTCATGAGTATCGAACTCATTAAATCTGTTCTTGAAATGGTTTCTAAATTCAGGTGGAATATGTTCAAGGTCATATTTTGGCTCTTGTAAACTTGTTTTAATTTTCTTCAGTTCCATCCTGAACTTACACATGAGCCATTGATGGTCTAGTCCACAGTTTACCCCTGGCCTTGTTTTGTATAATGATATTTAGCTATTCTACTGCCTCTTTCCACAGATAATAGTCCATTTGATTCCTGTGTATCCCATTTGGTGAGATCCATGCATATTTTTTGTTGTTGTTAAGTGCCATCCATTTGGTACTGACTCATAGCAACCCTATGCATAACAAAATGAAAAACTGCCTGGTCTTGTGCCAAGCTTACAATAGTTGCTATGTTTGAGTCCATTGCTGTTCCTATCTATCTCATTGGAGGTATTCCTCTCTTTCTCTGACCCTCCACTTTACCAAACGTGATCACCTTCTCCAGGGACTGGTCCCTCCTGATAATATGTCTGAAGTATGAGGGATGATGACTGGCCATCCTGGTTTCCAAGGAGCATTCTGACTGTACTTCTTCCAACACATATCAGTTTGTTCTTTTAGCAATTCATGATACTTTTAACATTCTCCTCCAACACCATACTACAGATGCATCCATTTTTCTACCATCTTCTTTATGAAATGTCCACCTTTCACTTACATATGAGGTTATTGAAAATAACATGGCTTGGGTCAGATGCACCTTAGTCCTCAAACTCTTCAACACTTTAAAGAGGTTTGTACAGCAGATTTGCCTAATGAATTACATCATTTGATTTCTTGACTGCCGCTTCAATGAGTGTTGATGGTTGATCCAAGCAAAATAAAGACTTTGACAACTTCAATCGTTTCTCGATTTACATAGTTGTAGATTGGTCCAATGTGAACTGTAGATTGGTCCAATTTTTGTTTTCTTTACACTGAGTTGCAACCCATACCAAAGGTTTTGATCTTCATCAGTAAGCATTTTAAGTCCTCTTCACTTTCAGCAAGCAAAGTTATATCATCTGTATATCGCAGGTTGTTAATGAGTACTCCTCCAATACTGATGCCATGTTTTTCTTCATATAATCCTGCTTCTTGGATTATGTGCTCAGCATACAGATTGAATAAGTATGGGGAAAGAATACAACCGTGGCCCACATCTTCACTAATTTTAAACCATTCAGTGTTCCCTTGTTCTGTTTGAACAAAACTGCCTCTTGGTTTATGTACAGATTCTTCATGAGCACAATTAAGTGTTCCAGAATACTCATTCTCTGCAATGTTGTCCATAGTTTGTTATGATCCACACTATCAAAAGCCTTTGCACAGTCAATAAAGCACAGATAAACATCTTTCTGATATTCTCTGCTTTCAGCCAGGATCCATCTGACATCAGCAATAATATCCCTCATTCCACGTCCTTTTCTGGTTTCAACCTCTGGAAGGTCTTTGTAAATGTATGGTTACAGCAATTTTTGTATTATCTTTAGCAACATTTTATTTGCATGCAATGATATTGTCCGATGATTTCCACATTCCATTGGGTTGGGCTCATATATGGATATCTTCCAGTCAGTTGGCTGGCTAGTTGTCTTCTAAATTCCTTAGCATAAATGAGTGAATGCCTCTAGTGCTACAACAGTTTACAGATTATGTAAACATTGCTGGATATAGTCACCTTTTAGGTTGCCTTAAAAAGATATTTTCAATGAATAAGTTATTAGTCTTGTAAAATTCTGTCATGCAATCTCCATCATTTCATTCACCAAGGCCATATTTTCTAATTACTGATACTTCCTCTTGGTTTCCAACTTCCACATTCCAATCACCTGTCATTTTCTATCCATCATGATTACGTGTTTGATCAATTTCAGATGGAAGAATTTGGTGACTTCTTCAGTTTCATCATCACTGGCTTTAGTGGTTGGTATGTAAATTTGAGTAAGAGTAGTATTAACTGGTATTCCTTGTAATCTTATGGATATTATTATTTCACATACAGTGTTGTACATCAAGATCAATCTTGAAATGTTCTTTTTAATCATGAATCGTATGTCATTCCTCTTGAATTTGTCATTCCCAACAAGGTAAACCATATGATTATCAGATTCAAAATGACAAATACCAATCCATTGCAGCTCATTAATGCCTAGAATATGATCTTTATGCATTCATTTTTATTTTTGACAATTTCCAATTTTCCTAGATTCCTATGTTATACATTCCATGTTCCCGTTATTAATGGATGCTTACACCATTTTCTCCTCGTTTTGAGTTGTGCCCCATCAGCAAATGAAAGTCTGAAAGCTTTATTACATTCATGTCATCGTGAACAATTCTACTTTTAGGAAGTAGCTCTTCCCCAGTTGATTCTTGAATATCTTCCAGCCTGAGGGCCTCAACTTCTGGCACTATATATGACAATATTTTGGTGCTATCCATGTTTCCATCTTCCAGCACAATCTGACAATGTTCAGAAATAGTCTACTTCTTCTAATTCTCTTAGTCTTCAAGCTCCACTGAAAACTGTCCACCATGGGTGACACTGGTGGCATATCTTCCAGAATCACACTACCACAAACTAACACATAAGTCATGATGCATCCCCCTGGAACTCCCAAATGGAACTATATGTTGTTGTTGTTAAGTACCATTAAGTCTGTTCTGACTCATAGCAACCTTGTTTAGGGCTTCTGAGGGACAGCTAATGGGTTCAAACCACCCATATTTTGATGATCAGTCCAGTGCCTATCCTACATTGCCACTCCACCATAATTTAAATACTGTCAGTTGAGTGTGAGTTCAGTTCCTTTAGTCAGTTCTTGTTCTAGGGTTTAAGATCTGCTAGTCAAGACTGTGAAGTCCCCAGTCATGTGACAAGGACATGCTTTTACGTCTTTCAGGCATATGCAACTGAAAACATTGAGGGAGGTCATTCTAGGGCAACCCTTCCCCACACCTATGGTTATCTTCCTCATGAGGTTCTCTACCAAACTAACTCTCAGGATATCCATTTCTTCCTGAAACCACATCTTTGTAATATGAAAACCATATTCATGTTTACTGCCAAGAAATTTGGAAGACAACTATCTGGCCGACTGATTGGAAGAGATCAATATTTATGCCCATTCCAAAGAGAGGTGACCCAACAGAATGTGGAAAT